CTCCATGTAAACTTTGTTCTATTTTTGTCCAATGAAATATCAAAATTAAAAAAACAACAAACTGTGGCTACAAAAAAAAAAAAGGATCCTACGGTCTGCTCTCCTACCAGAGTCCTGGGAAGCATTTACTATAGTAATTTCCCTCAGGAGCTCTTTGGAGCTGGTAAGCCAAATGTACAATTCAGTTTTATTAGGGCTCCCTCCTCCCGTCTGGCCCCCACACCATGCAGCTCAAGTTAATTTAGCCTCCACTGTAGACAGAGGTGTGGGATGTGTATGACTCTGTACCTCTGTGTGTTTAATGGCCTTCCTCCCTTGCGAAAAGCTATGGAAGGGACTGTGGCACAACAACACAGAAAGTGACCAACTCTGACAACACTAATGCTCCTAGAAGATCATTCATTTTTAACAAGCCGCTTTGCAGATGCAGGTCATGGACTCTCAGCTCCAGAACGACAGACTTTTGTTGCAAAGGATGTGATTTAAAGGCAAACTGGATGTAAACATGTTCCCCCTGACATTTTGTTGGTTCCTCTGAGACGGTCTGGCTGTTTTTACTCCACCTTTTACTGCTCAGTGCTACCTTCCTTCTGTCTCTTCCCCCTTTCTCCCCATCCATTCTCTCAATGTCCCTCTTACCCCTTCATCTCCCACCCCCCACCCATCTGATCCCCTCTGCAATTACTGCAACACTCCGAGACAGGGGAAATTGGTTGCCTGGCAACAGGATGCAGCTGGACCAATAGCATCCCCCCAAATGAGCTGACCGTAATGTGTTCGAACATAGGGAAAGGACAGGAGACAGGGAGGAGGGATTTGTACTGACCAAGAGAAAGAGAGAAAGGGGAAATGAGGAGCTCAGAGAGACAGAAAAAAAACAGATTAAAAAAAAATCAAAAATAGAAACAGAAAAATGGTGGGACATGACTGCTTCCAGAGTAAACAACAGATATCTCAAAGATTATATTAACCTTTAGCTTCAAGACGAAAACAGTCTCCAACCCGACAGATCTTCGCAAGCGTACGCTCCATGAATCGCACGGTGCTACACGTGTCTCTCGAGACGGCACTAATGAGGGAGTCGAGACTTTTGGGAGACTCTAACGAAGCCACGCCGAGAAATGCGCAGATGACAAGGATCTGTGATCAGCTCAGAGCACGAGTGACACTAAGAACAGACTGGGGGAAGGATATGAGGGAACGTACACACCATTTAGAAGGTGCCAATCCAGACAACACTTCCTGAGGGGAAGTAAGCTCTCCACACGTCACCACTCTGCCATCAACCGTCTCCCAACTGTCTATTTGATTAATGACATATGATCGGTGATTAAAATCACTTCTAAGAGGAGACGTCTACAGAGCAGTGAAAGGGTAAAGAGGAGGGTGTCCTTTATTCCTGCACACTTTCACACCTGCAGCAGCACTCCCTTTTTGTGTTGACACGTCACCCCACCCTCCTTCCCCCTCTCTTGAGGGTGGGGGGTGGAGGGGTAATGGGTGCCTGCCACATCTGAATCAGCCAGGGCATGATGACATTGCTCCCCAGCTCTGTAACCATAGAAACACCAGCCAACTGAGTAATGCCGATGTCTTCCCTGTGGCTATCAACTTGCCCTGTATCAATCCCTCCTTCCTTCCCTAATGGCCTTTCAGTGGCCTCTCTGTGTGTTCTGCAAGCAGCTAATGGATGTTTTTGTAAACTGCCTTCTCCACTCGCACTCTTCCACTGAATGCGATTTTTACATCGACATGACAGGCTGCTTAAGGTTTTTCTATACTCCTTTCCTTGCTTTATTTCTGCAAAGGCCAGTATACTTCAATCAGGACACAGTGGATACCCTTTGAACTAAACTGAACATACCATAAAGAAGTAGTACCACTACTAGGGACAGTAACCGAACCTAGTCATTAAAGTAGTTGCATTCACCTCTGAAAAACTCAACTCTATTGTATCAAAAATGCATATACTGTACATGCCGCATGCATTTGCTCACGAATAAAAGAAAATGAAATGTAAAAAAAAATGTTTTTTTCATGGTGCCATACACAAGTACCAAAATAATAATAGTATATTTTGCATGATTTCTATAATTTCTATGTGACAAGCTCAAGGAGCGAGTGAGTGCAACAAGTTCTTTGACCAATAAGGAAGCTGCAGGGAGCAAGACTGGACCACCACATTGGAAAAACAGACTATCAAAAACGTCCATGTACACTTCAGCACCAACATTCATACACGTGTACTGTAAAAGTGACCACATTTTAAATTTTACCTTTGGGAGTCAGGTTGTGAGATGGCGTTAACAATAGCTTCTACGGCCGTGTCGAAGAGCTCCGGGTCGGGCAGTGCACTGAAGCAGTCATGGACCAGGCCTTCACTGTCACTGAGGGACACGTCCAGCAGCACCCAGGATGAGAGGCAGCGGTGAACGCGAGCTTTTACCGCCCCAGGAGTGTCTGTCCGCTGTAACAGCTGCTGCAGTAAGGGATACACTACGACCCACTCCCGACCAAGGGCACCTCGAACCTTGGAGATAGACGGTGATGGCATGGGACGGAAAATGACAATCGAATTGTTAAATTAAGGAAAATGCCAGTTAAATGGCAAAATACACATGTCAGTTAACAGCTGACTAAATTAAACTTTTCATACAATGAAAACATGACGCTGTCTTACATTTATCTCACGTGGTTTTTTTACATACCACAAATGTATGTATGTAATAAATTAAATAACACAACACAAATTATTGTTTAGGTATATGATTGAATGCCTGAATTAATAACTATGTTTATACTATACGCACAGACAAAGGCTGAAGTAGACCTGATCATGTACTATATATATATAAATATATATATATATACGTATATATGTGTATATATATACACGTATATATACGTATATGTATATATATACGTATATATACGTGTATATATATAAATATATACGTATATACACGTGTATATATATATATTTATATATATATATATATACTGTAGGAATTAGGGGTGTGTATTGCTGAAAACACGTGGTATCACGCTACAGGAGCAACAATACAATATATTGTAATACTCTATTGGCACAGCAATATATTACATAAAATATCAATACTGTGCTATTGGTATTGTGAAACGAGTGTATTGATATTTTTTCTTACACCCCGGTAGGTATCTTACATAGATAATTATAGTGCATAGATTCTGTGATGAACATGAAGTGACCAGCATATGAACAAAAAACTATGAATAAAGCAGAGCAGTTTCTGCTATGTTCTGAAATCAGAGGATTCAGCCCGCTCAGAAATGCTGTTGTCCCAAGAGATACCTGTGTTCTTCTGTACTGCGGCAGGCGGCTGGTCTGGAACTCTTCGGGCAGGACAGTGAGCAGCTCCAGCAGAGCTAGGCAGCGTGCCCGAGCATCCACTCCTCCCCCCTCTTCCTGGAACACCCGCACCATCTCTGCCACAGCGTCTGGCCAAGCCTCAGGCATTGTGTTCAGGGCCAGAGAGGCCAGAGCCACACACAGGCGGGTGAGCACCATCTTGGAGCCGGAGGAGAAGCAGGCTATCTGAGAGAACAGTTGGGTCTTCAGAGACTCATACTGATCTGTGGGGATGTCAGACCAGTAGCGGGAGATCTTGGTGTGAAGGGCGCTAGCACCAAAATACTGGATCTCTGGCACCTGTAGGAGATGACAGAAAGGATGGGAAATGATTTGATTAAGATACATTTAAACATAGAACCATTTCTGGTTCTATGTTGATGCTACCGTATTTTCCAGACTATAAATCAGTCACTTTTTTCACCCTTCTGCTTTACATGCAGAAGGGCACTCTACCTGGCTGGTGCAACTTGTACTCCCTAGCTTCTTATATATCTTTTTTTCTTCTTCGTTATGCATTTTATTGGTTTGTGCGACTTATATTCCAGAGCGATTTATAGTCCGGAAAATACGGTAGGATTATATTTTTAGATTTTAAATTTAAGTATTTAGATCAAACAGGATTATATCCATCTAGGAATTGCACATTGTGTGCACTGTACCTTATCTGGACTCAGCAGGACCCAGCAAAACTGCCAAGCCTGAGGCGAAACCTGTGCCTGCATTAGCCATTTCTGGGCCAGATTCTTGTTTTCTATATTTGGATCGTAGTATAACTGGTGGAGGGCCTGTAAGAAAAGATTAAAAAACAATTAAAAAAATCAACAGAAACATAAAGATGTGAATCGTTTAACAACTTGGCAATGCATCGTCAAAACAGTCCTTTCACCTTATATTTGGGGGTGGGGGGTTATATTAGGAACTGGTTAGCAGCAGAACCAGCAGTTTACTGCACTTAACCTGGACAAAGGGAAAAGCAATGACCTGAAAATAGCACTCTCTGGAGTACAGTGGTAAGTAATTTGAGTACTTGAGTGCAAAAGAAGCTGCAAGGAGAAAAGTCAAGGTGGGGAAATTAAATGTCAATGCAAGACGAGAATATTAAAAAGTGTTGGCATTAATTAAACAGATGACACTAATCCGACTAGGGCAACAGGAGAGGTTTGCATAAAATACCGTCTCACACGCGCGTGTGTGTGTGTGTGTGTGGATGCTCAGTGAACTAAAACTGCCGGCAGACAGCACAACTGTCTGACAAGCTACACCGCAGAAACACTATCGCACTAAAAAGTCTGATTTCCTCTACTCCAACTCCTCTTTCATTTTTACCATCTTCACCTCATTCAACCTTCAGATTCACTCTGTTATTGTTGTATTTTGAAAACCATTCTTCCCTTCTCTTCATTCCATGAATTTCAAGTACTTAACTCCAGAGTGAATGCTACGATAGAGGGACGTGGAATGCACTGAAAACCATCGGAATGCGTATCAATTCAAAAAAAAAAAAAGAAAAAGTCCAACAACCTCGTCAGCTGAACTGGACGGTACAAATTGTCGTATAGATAGATGCAGTGTTCAGTGGCAGTTAGTGTCTATAATTTTTTACCAATCAATAACCTGGACCTTTTACAGACTTTAATTGGAAAGGGAATACTTTAAAAGGTAATGTAAAAGTATATCCGTTCAATAATAAAGTCCTAGCTGACTAATAAAGGCGCAGATTAACTATTTTTCAGGCACCGAAGACAACCCACTGTGTGCACCACAGTGGTCTAAGACAATGTTATATATATTTTGTTTAATTCAAAGAGTTTAAATATCTGACATTTGTTATAATCCTAATATTAATTTATATCATTTCTGATACCTTGTTTGGGAAAACAAATTGAACAAAAAGCCTAAAACATGACTTTTTTTTAAGCGCACTCAAAACCATTAGTTTGCCATCACGGATATTTTTCAGTTGATTAATTAATCAATTTGTCATAAATAAGTCACACTATCAGCTATCGCCAACGTGCCAGCAATGCCCTTAACTGAATTACCTAGGTTTATTCTCAAATAAGAAACCGTAAACACAGGTTGGCAGTGAGTCAGTGAACTGACTTTGCAAAGTTGGCTGACATTCTCCTACCTGTGTGAGGAGGACGTGCAGCAGCACACAGTTCTCTAATTTTAGATCTCTGTGCTTTAACCAATTTGATGCGTCAAAGCAATTGAAAAAAATCCCCACAAAACAAAAACATATAAAGGTAAATTAATTTTTTAGATTTTCTGTGAACGTTTGCCAGAGCTTAAAATATTTAACCCGGTGATAAATGGGTCTCAGAACGCATTTCTATTTATTGTTGATTATCAAAGCACATAACAAACCTTTTATAGACCTCTGTCCATTAGAAACAATTACACCAAACTGGAGTCACCTGTTGTGATGGCTAATACATTAAACAAGCACTCGGAGGAGCTCTGACTCATTCGACTGTGTGTGAAAATAGACTACTCTTGAGGAAGGTAACACTTGACGCTGCCAAGGATCATTTGCCTTCTCTAACGTTTTTCCAAGTTGTAACAAATGCTGCTTCATGAGAAACCATCTAAGCCTTATGGTGAGTCCTGAGTGACGGAAACACAATTCACCATACTATACCACATGACCATACTACAAAATTGAAGCATATCAAAGGGGCTAATACTCCGACACCTGCCGTCTGAAACTATTAGTCATAAACACACGTCAAGCCACAAACCCCATTTAAAATGTTATCATCAACAGGAGGTACTCTAACAACACATAACCGCCATAAGTTGTTTGTTCCCACACCATCTGTTCTTTCCAGCATCACACTCAAGGTTAGTGTAGCAATACACGTGGTCCAAAAACCAGCATCGTAATCCAAATTCAAAGGGATGTGACGTTGAATATGAGTAGTTAGGGGATTAAAAAATAACAACAGCGTAAATGAGCATCTAAGCGTTTCAATAGACAGCCAAGATATCTCAGGGATGCCAATGTTGTCCACAAGGATACAATTTCTTCGCATTAGAAAAAAAAAATTTTTGTATCAAAACGTAAGCTTTTTTTTTCCTCCGCAAAAAGAAAAGCACTTTAGACCACATTCTGCATTTATGAACAGGCGACATTTAAATGCTAACATAAATAAAGTTCTCATCATAATTATTTATTAAAACAAAGGATGTAACGGAAACACATTTGACGTCTGTGCATCAATTTCATTTTTACACAAATATACAGAGAAAAACATTTAATGCTCCTTTAATCTGCAAATCAAATTTCAATAAGAAGCAAACCTTAGTTCTTACAATGTGATATTTGATTGATGATATATATATATATGCATATATATACATACAGTGTATGTATATATGTATGTATATATATATATATATATAAAGCTTCAAATAATGTGCCTTTTCAAAGTGTAGATACCAATTAGAGGCCAAAACCTTCAATCAACCATGTGCAGTATGTGAACAGAGCTGACTAAGAACGAAAATAATTGACATTAATAAGCCGTGCAATACCAAGAATTGCAGAGAAGATTTCTTGTTTAAAGAAAAAAGACAAACTGACAAAATCCAGCACTTATTTTAGCAGCACAGGGAACATTTACTTGCATGGTGATTATTTGTGCCTGTGCATTACTGAAGCTAATTACAAAAATTGTAAGTCAGTATAAAAAGCTCTTTGTTAAACACACACAAAAATACCTACAATGGCGTGCTTTGTTTTATAGACAGAAGAAAATAACAAGGGCCTTCTCAGTTAGCACACACAAACACTGGGACAGGAACCATAATCTCCACCCCAGCCAAGATTGAAAGGGAATTATTCGTCATTTTGTGACACTTCTGTCCTGCTCTCGTAACATAACTTTCTCTTTATTAGGACTTTTTCTCCTTCTTCACGAACACTGTGACCACTTTCCTGTAGATACGGCTGTTTGGCATAACAATTTCAGAATCTAAGCAGGTAGTGCCACAGAAAATCAGAATAAACCAAGTCAATCCTCTGCAACAGACAAACGCTGTTTAAAACGCATTCCAAAAGAATGATATTCCATCTTGTTTTGAATATACTATAGTTACAAAACTGCACATACTCCTCAGGAAAATCTATCATTTAGATATTAGTCAGTGATGCACAGTACATTTTAGAACAACAACACAACACACATTTAGGTAAGCTTCACTTTCTGGTATCCAAGATAATTTGCTTCCATCTTAAACCTTCCCAATAGGTTAGTGTACACATGTCACACATTTATTACATATAAATAAGAAAACACAATATTAAATATATATATATTTAAATTATTTTTCCTTAATTTTTCCTTAATTTATTAAACTACAATTACTGTTATCCATCCATGACTTCTTTTCTACAGGAATGCTCAAACCTGTCTCACAATATCTGACATAACAGACATCAACCTTGTTGCACCCAACCCCTCCTTCCTCCAATCTATCCCGTCAGATCAGCCCAGCTCCTTCCAAGGAGCACCTTCCTCTGCCTCAACAGCCTCTCCATTGTTCCCCCACCCATATGCTCTTATCCGAGTCAATGGCCACCCAGCAGGGAGATTCATCACTGCAACCTGGCAGCAGCAGTCAACACTGACAAACAGGCAGCAAACAACACACGCACAGGCCAATTCAATCGGAACAAATAAGCCCCACCGACACGACATTCCTAAATACAGACATGGAAAATCGAACCAATCATGACATGTGGATTTTATATAGTTGTTTTTTCCCCCATTAATATACAAATGAAAATGTAAAAATAAATGTAAGAAGGGACCGCTTTCTCAATTTGTTTTGGTATCGGCGCTCTAGACAGCGCAATATTTTGAAAGAATATGCAAATGACATTAATAACATATTTACATTTTACATGAAATTCAAATATATTAAACACACAACTCTCCCTGTGGAAAGTAAATAATCAGCGGCGTCTGCACAGACTTACACACATGCAGTCGAGGTATACAACATATGAATGAATGAGGTATTAAAATATATTTCTTATGTTTTAAACAATCTATGTTTTTATGCATGTTTTATGCAGACAGGCTAAAGAGACTATAAAAACTCACCTTCTCTACGTTTTCCACGGTGAAGTCCAGGGCGTCCTGGGTGGTTACTGTCCTGCCCGGCGTCTCCATATCTCCGCTGACACGGAGCTGTCAAGTAAAAAAACAAAACAACACAATCAGGAGCTACCCAGCCAATATTCAACGTTTCCTTCAAACACTTTTTTCTTACTTCTACAAAAGCAACAAAGACATCGTCTATCGTTAGGAAATATTATAAGTTGACGTTTAAATTATGACAGCAGCCAACTGGCCGGCTAATGTTGGCTTACTTAGCATTAGCTTTAGCTAACCTATGCTAAGCTAAACACCACTAAGAAAACATACGGCGTGATGCTAACGCAAAACCAGCTCGACTCGCGTAGCTAGGCATGTTTTTAATACCGTTATACACATATATAACGCCCATTGCCTAAGAAATACAAACATTTTCGGGGTGTGACAGCATTATCACAACGCCGCCGTCTCTGTGAGTTTACTCTATCACGTCGGAACGACCGATATTGTACACCTTGTCTCCACCAACGATGTGGAATGATGCGGAGCAGCTCCCTTCAGATTCTCTCCTCGGTCACCAGGTTTTTTGCTGCGTTCGGGTACTGTGGGAAAATGCGCAATCACAGCATAATACTCAATGACTATCCAGACTTACTGTGAATTAAACAGCTATTTTTAAAATAATAAATTTATGGAACAGACATGACAAATCATTTATCGAAAAGTAAATATTACCATGACATTTTAAAGTGTGCTTTAGTTTATCTGATATTCAATATTTTTGCCTATTTTAAGGATTTATTACTTTTACTGTAGTCTATCTGTCTATCTGCTACTTTTACTGTATTCTATCTGTCTATCTGTCTATCTATCTATCTATCTGTCTATCTGTCTATCTGTCTGTCTGTCCGTCCGTCCGTCTGTCTGTCTGTCTGTCTTACTGTCTGTCTCTCTGCCTGTCTTTCTCTGTCCGCCAAATCGGTCGAAAACAGATCCCAGATATAGACAGCCCTACTGTTCGGAACACAAATGACATTACAGAAGCTCTTTTACTAAGAAAAAAAAGTTATGGTCATTTTGGCTGAACGAGTTGCCTTGCTTTTGCTTACTTTGTATACAATAATAATAAAAATATATTTGACAAAATCGAAAACTGATAGGGGTAAGTTTATAGACCTTCCGGAAACGAGTACTCTACTACTGTAGAAACAAATACGGTGGGTCTCAAATGATAAAACACTGACCACTGGCGGTACGTACGCTCCCTCTAGTGGTGCGCGTGAAACAATGTTATTTTTTTAACTTTGTTAGCAAAATCATGACAGTACATAAAATGACCGGCTCAAAACCGAAACTTTTTTAAAAAAATGGAAAAAAGAGCTAATATTAATGCTACACGCGGTCCTGCAAATATATATATAGAAAATGAACCATTCAAACCTGGCATATATCTGTGTGGGGTTTTAGAATTCAAGAACCAGATTCATTTTTTATTTGTTGTGTTTTGTTTTTTAAGTATATTGTCTAATTAGCATTAGCATTGATATATAAATCCAGTAGCGCCTCTATCCTTTGTTTCTTCCTCTTTTTGTATCATTCTACACAAACTACCTTTTAGACACATTCTTACCTTAATACTGCTGCTACTACTACTACTACTACTATAATAATAATAATAATAGTTTATTAATTATTCATACTTATTATTATTATTTTATTATTATTACATTATAGTAGTTCATTGAATGATTTGCTGAATCTGCGTCAGTGCTGTGGCCTGATGTTTCCTGACTCATGCTCTACTGTAGGTGTCAGTCTTCGGGTTGAATATGCTTCATGGCACAGAATCAGAGCCAACGGAGAACACGTGGCACTGATTCTGGGGAGAGAGAGAGAGAAAAGATTGAGAAAAGAGAAAGAGAGAGAGAGAGAGAGAGAGAGCGTACACACCCTCCTCCCCCTCCTTCTTCAGTCCCTCCAGCCACGCATACAGTGTCAGAGTCAGTCACAGAGCAGCTGTCAGTACCGGGCAGAACTCTTGGCCACATCTGCTTTGGATTTCGTACTTTCTCCTTTGGAGGGGGGGTCGTGTCATAGTGACGTTTTCGTACCTAGCGCACGGAACAGAGACACAGTGATGATGAAGACGATGAGGATGGAGACCAAAGTCTGGACTGTCCTTTTTGCGCTGCTGCTGCTCTTGACCTGTGGATCCGCAGACCACGGTAGGAGCTGGTTTGTTTTTCTGTTTGTTTTTCTGATTATTTCAGGAAGTTTTGCTCGGTTTGATCCCACGTGACCAGGTGTAGAAAAAGCCTTGACTTTGACGAGCTAATGTTCTCCTCGACATGAGTGAACAAATACACTGGCGTTGATTTACTTCCTTACGAAGACGTGCTCTTTAGAACTTCGTTGTGCACTTACTTCAACAATATACGAAAACAAATTTGGACGTATACGTCCGAAATAATACGACAGTATAAACAGTTTCATGTTACTTTAATAAACTCGTAGTTATTCTGTTTTCCATACCTTTCATACCTTATACCTGTTGCTGTTTTAGTTATTATTGTAAGTTGTTAGGATATAAAATTGTAATGCCTGTTTTTTATCTTAACATTTTCAAAACGTGCTCCATAGCAACAGACACCCCTGTAATGTAATGATTGCATACATTGTCACTTCTGTTTCTTTTAGTTGCATCTGGTACTATATTCTGTACCATAGTTGTTTGTGTATTATTTACCAGACGTGTTTGTTGACCTTTTTTCCCACCTCCAACCGTCATATTCTCTGTTTGGTCACATTCTCCGTTGATTGCATTCTCTGTTGTTACAGCTCATTTTTCACAACAATAGCTTCCCCTCCACTTCTTGACAACATTTGCTAAATTACTGGTCGCACACTCCTCTTCCTGTCGCTGCACTTTTTTTTCCCTCTTTTGCCACATCTGTTTACAAATATATGTGATATCAAATTTGACTGTTTGGTTATAAAGAGGCAAGCAGTTTTATGTTAAGGCAAATTATATGGAAACATTAAAATGACATTATATCCCACAAGCATCTTTGGCATCAATATGTAGATACTTTTTGTGGTTATTGTCTCCTGATTTTAGGAAAATTTGAAATGTAAAAATATTTACGTTATCAATTAGGATTTGGTTTTTTGAGTTTGTGTAAAAATTTAAACTCAGAATTCAATTCCAAATATAGATAGATGGATGGATGGATGGATGGATGGATGGATGGACGGGACAAGCACTTATTTTAATAGCACAGAGGACGTTGTTGAGTTCCCTTTGGGAAATTTAGGATATATATTTATAATGTATGTTTATTTTTGTTACAGGAATATGTTTCATTTTCTATGGCGCTTCTTCTTTTTTGTAGTGTATCATTTCAGTCCTCATCTTGTCATTGGCACATGTCGGTTCGTTTATCTATCTAAGTCTGGGTTTGGTACAGTCAGCCGTCCATTTTCCCTTCTCTCACTCTATGTAAAATGTTCCATAATGTATGCATGTATGTATATGATCAGGGTGTGTGATGCAATACAATTTAACACCGATCACCATATAGTCAAGTCAAGCGAATCAACTGAAATGCACAGATCTGATTCTGACATTTAGTATGAATATATACTAGGATACATGCACAATACTTTCATGTCTTTTAATATTTAAAAAGACACATCAAAAGGAAAAAGAAAAAGTCAAATAGATGATTTACCCTGTGGTTCAATGTGAGGAGACAGTACTATAAAATAAATGAAAGACCAGCAACAGGACACGCAGCCTCAGAGGTTATACCCTCGATGCCAGTGAACATCTGATGACAAGGCCAAGTGCAGCGTGCCCTAACAGAGCTGCTTTTACAATCTTTTGCTCTCTCGGCTCCACTCTGAAGAGAAAAGTTGTTTCGAAAAACGACCGTAAAAATAGACGGAAACACTGGTCACTGAGACCAGCTTTTTCAAACAGCAGACATCTGCTCCCAGAAAAAACCAGTTGGCCATCCCTCTCACTCCCAGGGTCAAGCGGCGAGCAGGAGTTATTTTCCCAGGTACAAACAGCAGCGGTGAGGGAGAGAGAGTTGTGATATGTAGAGAGAGGACAGAGAAAACAGTGGCTCTGTTCATACATCTGCACGCACAAAACAGACGAAGGAGTTGGGTTGAGTTTGACCTGAGCTGCACAGAGTTGAAGGAAAAAACAAGGCTAGTATTATATAAACAACCACCTCTGTCTATTTATCTGAGGCTATTTTTGTGTCGTTCAAACTCCTGTCCCCCGGCCTCCTTATCTCTCCGTCTCTCTGAGTGTGCTGGTACTAATGAGCTGTGTGAGTAATCAGGAAATGAAAGGTATCACCACCATGCGCAACTGACCAGTAATGACATTACATTACATTAGTTGTCTGGTTATCATCAAAAGGAAACAGGCAGATGCAGAGTCTGGTACATTGGGTGCAAACGACGTCAAGACGCACAGAGAGAGAGAGAGAGAGAGAGGGGAATGGTAGGTGGTTATTAAAGTGGTATTACTTTAAAGACCAAAAATGACCCACCTCTCATGTGGGTTACAGCTAATGCCGTGCAAAAGTGAAGTTAGGCTTGGTTCCTGTCCCTTTCATGTGGCCGTGTCTAAAATTATATCTCAGATTAATGTGGTCGTGTTACGATTTTTCACAATTTTCAGAAGCGGTTTAGATCAGTGGTTCCCAGCATAGGAAATAGGATTCCCACCAAGGATGGTGCATGGACTGAATCCAATATGGAATCCATTCCTTTTTGTGCCTAGTCAGGCTTGATCAGGCAACAGGAGTGAGATCATTGTTTATGACACTGTAGGACAGTTTACCTTTTCCTTTGTGTTTGTTACTAGAGTGAAATTACAGTACAATTCTAAATAGAGCGTTCAAAGATTTCTGCTAGGACTGGGACCCTGTGTCAGGACCTTTGACCTTATGTTTAATGTCACTGAACTCACTGTGTCACATTTTTTCTAGGATCCAGCTGAATTATTTTGGATTTCATACTTATTTGTAGAAATGTTAGAAATATATAAAAAGGACATTTTTCTGTGGCAGTAAATTGTTGTTCATTTCTATACATCACTGAATAATCAGAGCCGACATAAAATACATGGCATGACGACTGCTTGTACTTGATTTTTCCATAGCCATAGCATATTAGTGACACAGCCACAGCTATTTTGGGTCGGATGGAAAAAATAAGAAATGTTACAAAATACAAGGGAAAAAGGCAAAAATAAACTGTAGCCCTTGTGTTAGCACACACTGTTTTCCTGTTGGCTCATAAAACTGACAAACGCCATATTAGGGTTCATTCATTATTAATCACTCTTGAGCTGAAGAATCATCAGGCGCTGGTCATTAACGAGGTTTGGCACTGATCTCTCCTTATTAGATAATAACCATGCTGCTGCCTCAAAGAGCGCTCCTGGTCCTGAGATGTCCACTGAGGCCCCAGCTGCAGTTTCTGTGTCTACTCCAAGTCTGGAACCAACGCGTCTTCCTGCTCCAGCACTAAATGCCTCTGGTGTGAACACAAGTTCCAGTGGCAACATGAAGCTAACCAGCAACACAACTGCAGATGTGGAAACCACCTCTCTGTCACTGGAAACAAAGGAGCACAATGGTAACTGTTCATTTCTTATTTGTCGAGAAAAACAGTGAAAACTGATTTATTTCTGCATGTGCGAGGTTTGTCTTTGCTGAGGTTTAGCCACAGTCTATACCTAAATAATTATTTGGTCTGTCTATGCTCACACGTGTGCCATTATGAAAAGTCAAAATCTGCCACAAACCCAGTAGGAGTGGCCAGATCAGACACAATGGGTCCTGAAATTGATGCATAAATGCTAAAATGCTTCTAAAAATTTTCTACACCATCTGTTGGAAAAATGCGAAAATTGCAGGGAAAACTAAGAAATATAATGATAATATAAATCAACTGTGTAATATGGACAAGTTTGGCGGGTCGGATTAAAAACCTGAACGACCCTCATCCGGCCCCGGGCCTTAGGTTGCCCATACCTGGGCCAGACTATCCAGCTCCATCTAAATAATAGACCAGCACAGAAAAGAAGAAAAAAGCCAAGAAATTCAATAAGGAAACTATAATATAATTCAGTGGATGGATTCGAATTTGTGAAACTATCAGCAGTAGAAGTCTGAGGTACGATGTTCAGGAGAGAAGTAATTAAATGCTGTGTGACTTTTCACAAGACAGTGAGAAAGGTAGAAGTGAAATCTGACATGTTTTGGTGCCTCGCTCTCCCTGTCATCCAGACGCCAGCGCTGCTTCACACTGAAACTGAAGGAGTCCACTTTATGACTGCTTTGTCTGCGATTTTGTTCTTGTCAGACTCTCATGGTTTTGCTTTTGTTAACTCCCAGTTTTTAATTTAATTTAATGCCTCTAATTGACCATTGGTCAATTAAATGTAAGTAACATTTCCAAACCATAGAGTGAGCTCAGCTGGATTCTTTTACATATTTTACATTCACCTATTCGGAACGGTCTTTACCTTTAAATGGAAGTGAGTCATTTAAAAGTAAAGCTGAAAAAAAAAAGTGCAGAGTCAAAAATGAACTGTTCAAGTTCGTTACTTCTGGATCAGGGCTCACCAACCTTTCTGAAAGTGAGAGCTCCTTCAAGGGCACTCAGTAATACGAAGAGCTACTTGTTTGATACAGACTTCCCGAACAATAATTAGTTCTGGGACATACAATAGCGGACACCCTTCTTACCATAGTCATTACACCCATTTGAATATCACTGCCAGTGTAACTGATTCAAAAAGCACAGTAACAGTACAGTTTTTGACCCTCTTGTTGACTAGTTTGATTTTTAGAATGCACCTGAGGTAGTCCAAGGGGCTACCAGGTGACCCTGGGCACCATGTTGGTGACCCCTGTTCTAGATTTTTCTAATGTAGATATGTATACTAACTTAAATTGTACAACCTTGCTGGCTTTCTCCCATATATACTGTATATATATATATATATACATATATATATATATGTATAAGCTTCACCAGAATAAACGTTATGTGAATCTCGTTCCCTTCTCCTGAGAGAACCTCTGTATGTGGGTGTTGCACCAGCCCGCTGGGAACATTTCATCTGTGGTGTGTTGTGACTGACTGTGTTGGCTATAAAAGGCTTGGGCGAAGTTTGCCAAAGAATGCGCTACTGCACGTTGGCACAACCGGCACGAGGCTATTGCTGTTGTGCATTGACTAAGACGCAACCTGGTCTTAACAAAGCATGTCAGAGTACAAGCTAATTTCATAGACTAAGAGAAAAATAGAATAATCAGTACCTGATTAATGACCTTTGAACCCCAGGTGTTAATGCATTTAAAACACCCATACTACTGTCACTTTTATCAGATATGCATCATTCAAAAAGGATCAAATGAAACACCATTTATGCAGTTCTACTTCCTGAAAGACCAGATCGGTCTCCTCTTGAAAATAAATGGTGCATCCTCCAGAGGACTGCAACAATTTGCATGTTTAATTAGTATGTGTGTACTCGCTGTGTACTAGAGAGTACTGATATGGATACCCCTTTAGGTTAGGTCTCAATAAATGTGTAATGAACTGGATGGCATTGCTATAAAGATGGCTCCTTTGGGTAATAAGGTGACATGCAGTGTTTAGGTGCAATCTCAACCTAAACCGCGGTGAGGAAACGGCGCACGGAAATTCTTGTAGCGCGTTTTATTTTTTTTTCTCATTAACAGAAGCCTGTTTCAAAAAAGAAACCCGTCGTTCTGTACTAAACAAGATGAATAGAATAGAAAACTTTCTGTTTGGTAAACAGAAATCAGCTGGACAGAAAGTGAGCGGAGCTTTAACCCTAACATCAAATTAAAGTGGTTACCAAGTATCAGTTGTTTGCCTGCCATGTTTTGGGCTTGATACCAATACTAGTATTGGTATCGATGTATCCCTAATTTTATGGATTAAAAATCAGTCAAATCATTAAAAAAAACAGAGATTTTTTTGTTGAAAAAGCCGCCGCCCTAATAATCTAACACTGTACTCTACTTTCCTCTTGTAGATACCAACACCCCAACGGTGCCTGTCCTTTCAGTGACAGATTCAACCATACCTGTGGAAGGGACATCACATCCTGGAAATGTTCCAAACGCGAGCCACACCACCACCACCACCACGACTATTACCCACTCTCTCACCACCCTGAACACCATCACCACTACTACCACAACTACAACACCTTCTCACACAGCATCCCATACCCATGTAGAAACAACAACCGTCAGCACAGGGAGCAGTCTTCCACCCCTGGCACCTGACTCCATTACAACCCCACACCAGCCCTCCCATACTGGGACCACCTCAATCATCTCCGCACCGAGGTCTTTAATCACCACCGCGGCTGCAACCAGCACACGGTCTACTTCCTCCGCCAGCACTACCATCTCAGAGAAGCCCACATCGAAGCAAGTTCCTTTGGAAGAGCAAGAGAGGACCAGCAGCGGCCCATGGAGCAGCCCAGTGCCCCAGGCCAAAGCCCACGTGGACACGCCATCGCAGCTCAACGTGGGTGGCGACAGTAAGTGTACAGTAAACTTCTAATGGAGTCTTCACTGCCCTTTTTTTTATTGACTGAGTCAGAATTGAATTGGCTCGACGACAGAGACGATAGTGTGCTTTGTTTTTAGCACAGGCCTCTCCTGTCGTCTATGCACAAACAGAACTCGTCCTCATCTAGCACAAGCACTGTCACCACCAAGCACTCCACAGTTATAGCTCTGTTTGGAAATAGGACAGCGACTGTCATGGAACAGAGAATTTTCTTTTTTTCCCCCACTCTCTCTGCCTTGTTGTCCTTTTGCTAACTGATTTATAGTCCTACTCTTTGTGTTTGTTTTGTAATTTTCAATGTCAGTATATGGACTTTTCGGTTGGTTTCCAGAATTGGTCTGATCTCAGGAAACAGAAAAGGAGAAAATTAGATTTCTTTTGATGAAAAATCTGAATTTCTCTCGCTCTGGTTTGATATGGCCAGACGAGGCATAACTTATTTCCTTGTATAGCACGGACAGTTGATTATCTGCACTTTAACTAGAGGAGAACAAACTCAAACTAAATTTTGTCTTACCAAAAAAAAAAGATTAAGTATTAAAGGTGAGATTTAGTGTTTTGTATTAGGTGCTGGGTGTAGCTATCATCTTAAATGAAGCTGATAACACACTCCTATTCCACTAACAGGAACAAGCTAGCAGGTAAACTCAAAGTCAAATAAGAAAAGAATTACTCATTAAACTGTAAAAACCCACCATTTGAGAAACATTCCAAAATGTTGCTAGTAAGGTTAACAGTTAATGCAGTTAGTAAAAATTAAATAAAAAAAACAAAACAAAAAAAAATTAAAAATGTATTTGCTGATAAAATCATAAAAATGGTGTGTTTAAGGGTGCAGAGCCCTGCCTTAAATGATGGCCTGTTAAAGCAGCAGTCCTTGTAGCTCGGTGTTTACGTGCATGGTTAATGTCGTCCTCCAGTGTTTGACACTTCTGTCCTGAGCTACAGTCTTGTCTTGAGCTGCTGCTGTGGTGTTTTATTTATCGACCTGTGATGGATCTTGTGTTTTCCCTCCAGTGTCTTCAACCCACGAGTCCCCAACATTAGACCCCCTACTGGCCGGTCTGGTCATAGCCTTCATCGTCACCGCTGTCATCATCACTCTGCTTCTTTTCCTCAAACTGCGTCGCAGAGACAACCGTCCAGAGTTTCGCAGACTGCAGGACTTACCCATGGTGAGTGCAGCTGTGACGTTGTTGTTGTGTAACATTGCGTAAGAACATAACTAGGAAATATTGTAACAACCTCACCAGTAATCGCCTGTCATAAAAATCCCTAAAACAAACTAAAATGTTTAAAGGTCTACGTTTCTTAAGTTTTATATTTAAGATCCAGTTTTGACTGCAGTTGTCAAAGCAAAAACGCACCATCCTGTTTTCATTTTCTTCGATTAGGGGTTAGCTCTGCCTGTTTCTGGAGAAACTGAAACAGGAAGTCACTAGTTCACTGGAACTACTTTCCTTAGCACCTAGAAATATCTGCTTTAAGCACAGATACCTTTATTTTTTAGTTGTTCAGATTTAAATGTTTGACATTGACTGTTTCATACATGTATTATGGTTTTAAGGTACAGTTGCTGGTAATTATTCCAAGCTAAGTACCTACTGTACTTCATATCTATCTGCTCAGTTATACCCCCAAGAAGACGTTTCTTGAATGACTTGAGAACATTCTATTTACTCACTTTAGCTTTATCCACTTTATTTTTATTATTATTTGTTATCGATCATTTTACTTATTTGCTGTAATTAAGTGGCTCAAGCTATTTAACTAACAGTTATACCGGTTTGTCTAAAAATTGGTCAAGGATAACCAGTACCTCTATATTTATCACAAACGTATGTCCAACGTTAATATATGAAGTTACAGGATATACTGTAATTCAAAGGTTGACCTAAAATCGCAAATGTAAAAAAACATTAAAATAATTCCGGTGTTCTTTGCAGGACGACATGATGGAGGACACACCTTTGTCCATGTACAGCTACTGACCACTGAAGACTCCCACACGGTCTCTCCTCGAGTGCAGATATTTGCTGGATCATTTGTTTGCCTTAATCTGACAAAAACAGACAGAATTCTGGGTAATTGGGAGCAAATATTTTGCCCTGCTTGCATTTATCCAGCTCATTAGGGGCAACACTGACGCAGTATTGGACAGAGAATATCAGGTTCCCCTTAGAATTGCTTGTAATTTTAAATTTGATAAGGCATCTGCTCGACCTGTTCAATTTGACGAGGCAGCTGTTCAATACTGGATTGTTCAGTGTTCCCCGGCTCAACCTTTGGGGTTGTGTAAAAGGTTTTGGTTTCCAAAGAGAAACGGAGTGAAGTATAAGACATCTTTAGCCGTGTTCTGAACACAGGCTCGGTCAGACTTTTACCAGGAGACTTTGGCGTACGCTTGTCTCATCAGTTATAGCCGCAGTAGGTGTAGTTGTGCAGTAGTTTACGTTCGATTCGCAAGCTGTTGAAATGTCAGATTTTGTCGTTCGACCTCTCTGTCTTGAGATCCTCTCGTCATGCAGTTGCATTGTGTGTCCGTGGCCTTCCACTGCTTTGGCTGTGTGTAGTACTATTTCGCTCAATTGGAGATTTTTCAACAAACAGTTCACATGCTAGTCTATTACTCATAGAAACACATCAGAAACTCTTGCTAAAATGCTACAGCTAGCAAAAAAAAAAGTCAAGCAGCCCACCATCAAGTGTTAAGGTCAGGATTACAGTTCAGAATCTTTGCAGTAACCTGAACAGGAAATGCCTAGAGACTGGTAACATTTTTTTTCTTTGCTTGTTTTACAAAAAAAAAAACATAACAGTACTGTACAGTTTGTGTTTTAAACTTTATGGGTAACTGGTGTTACGTTTGGATCCAGAGATAAGAGAAGAGAAATGTGCCAGATTATTAAAAAAAATGACCCTAAAAGAAGGTTGCACTAAAAGTAGACATTCCTGAAGACTCCTGAATTGAAATAGAAACATGTGTATATGTATTTATATAAACATATATACAGTATATGCCTTTTTCAATCCAGGGTTTGAAATTTTAAATTTTGACAATTATCCAGACCTCCATCTCTGACTTTCACAGAGATGCATTTGTACATATGAGAAAGTGGCTTTTTGTGCAAATTTCTTTCGCATTTGCTTCGTAGTCTTCACGTGTGCACAACTGTTTAAGGTAATAAACTGTTTAAGTGTTGTTGAATAAGGCAAAAGCAGACTCTGCCTTTACACCTATAGTTATGACTTGTCATGTTACGACGTAACAGTTATGACGCCTTTTCTTTTCTGGAGTTAGCCGTTAGCCAGAAAAGTGTGCCTTCGAAAGCATAAAATTGATTTTCTTTTTTTTTCTTTTACCTTCAGTTGTACCTTCATGTTCTAGTGTTTTGTGTAGTGATTTTTCTTTCTTTTTTTTCCCAAACAAACCCACGTAGACACTGTTGGCTGTGTAGCTGCTCTAACTTGCCTCTGTTCAGAAATTAGCCTCGAGCGTGTCCAATGTGAGGCACTCTTTCAAACGATGACAGTTGCAGACTGAAATAGGCCGGTGGCCTTTGCACACAATGTTAGCATTGTCCCGTGCCCCGCGAATACTACTGATGACTGTATCTCATTAGGACAACACAAATGTTACACACACATGTGTTCAAAATACTACGTAGACTGAAGTGACAGCACATATTTACGACATTTTCACTTTGCTCAGGTCCAGGAAAAGAGGACTCAAAAACACATAAAATATCAACACCGCTATTCACTTCGGATGGAGTCTGTGAAATAATACATCACAAATGTGTACTTGTTAAGTTTTGTTTAGATTTTTTTTTTGTGCAGTTTTAAACTTTTGGTAAAGTGCCTTATTCGGTAGTCATCTCACTCTCGTTTTCAGCGTTAGTTTTTGGTTTAAAAGATGTCATCAAACCCACTTTGCTCCCAATAGGTGATCAGAAAGCCATGATCATGCATTATTTATTTTGTAAAAAAAAAAAAGAGTCTTGTCACTCCCTCACATCTGTCGCACCCGCATACAGTACATCCAGTATTACATAAAACACCATTGATTCCTGATTTTGATGATGCCTGTATTGTTCTGTAATTGTATATTTGTTTGAATGTCTTTGCTGCCAAGTATGGATAACAGGCTGTCGTGTGATTAAACGTATTTGGAAACAGTGGTCCGTGTTTCCTTATTCTTCCGTGATTGTTCAGTGATTAAAGTGATTAAAAGCATTCTCGTTTTATTCAGCTCCTCGGTCGACTGAGTAAACACTGAGTGTACAACCACAACAGGACCGGCCTCTTTTCTTTCGCTGCAACACATACTTCCTTTGTTCAGACAAAAACACTTGTGTGGCCATCTTTGAGTTGCTTCATCGCTATACTACAGCACTGAAATACAGCTATTTCTAGATCAGGCACTCAAGCATAATGTAGTCTGACGCGTTATGACGAATACCAACATATATGTAAGAATAGAAATGATTTTTGTTCTAGTACAAGGGTGTCAAACATATGGCCTGTGGGCCATCTTCTTGGTGAGGCTTTTTCAAATTATATTTACATTAAATATGAGTATTTTCTAATAAATTATTTGCAGGAAAAACAAAGGGGAAAAACATGGACTTTTTTTAGGTAATTATGTTATGATTGTACTGGTCCAGCCCACTTGACACCTAATCAGGCTGTATGTGGCCCCTGAACAAACCTCTGATCTAGTATTATGAACCTTATTAAGTGCACGTTCCCTTTGTTTTCCAAAATGCTTTTTGCTGCCCAGTGTGGACGTCTGAGGAAAAATGACTTGTTAGATAATCTGACAAATGTTACTGGACACTACATTGGGACCCTAAGACAAAGATCTAACCTAAACCATCAACTTCCCCCTGGCTCTTCACTGAGCTTTGCTGACCGATAAATTATTAAATAGCTTTGACACCAAGCCTGGCACTGTGTGACTCATCTTGGGCAGAGAGCATAAAGAGTTGAGACTTTGAAGTCTCAACTGTACTGGGCTCAAACACAGTGAGACGAGGGTGGAGGTGAGGGGATGTCCTCACCTTTTCAATGGCTTTTTGATTCCTCTAACTGTATTATGGAGAAACAAAACACGAGCGCTCTTCAGATTCCTTCCAGAATCTATCCAACTATTTACACTCATTCTCACCTATGGTCAATTTAACCAGAAGATAGCATTTCATGTAGTAAATACATTTAATACGTTCTACAAAGAGAATATATTTGAATATATTATTTGAATATATATGTACACATATGAAATACAATTTCTACTTTCAATTTGCCCACAATTTACTGACTCAGTATTAAACCTTGGCCTGTTTAATTGAACACAAATCCAACGTACTGAAAGGAATTGAAGAAAGACAAAGATCTTCTGCTCAAACACAGTGAGACGAGGGTGGAGGTGAGGGGATGTCCTCACCTTTTCAATGGCTTTTTGATTCCTCTAACTGTATTATGGAGAAACAAAACACGAGCGCTCTTCAGATTCCTTCCAGAATCCAACTATCCAACTATTTACACTCATTCTCACCTATGGTCAATTTAACCAGAAGATAGCATTTCATGTAGTAAATACATTTAATACGTTCTACAAAGAGAATATATTTGAATATATTATTTGAATATATATGTACACATATGAAATACAATTTCTACTTTCAATTTGCCCACAATTTACTGACTCAGTATTAAACCTTGGCCTGTTTAATTGAACACAAATCCAACGTACTGAAAGGAATTGAAGAAAGACAAAGATCTTCTTCACTGCCACTCATTCTTTCTATCTTTTGTTTCATTTTTTTATTTATCTTTTGGTTATTATAGCCGTCTGCTGCCACTGAGTGAAATAGTATGTAATTTCTCTGCAAGATGAACAAAGATAAATTATTTACAGAAAAAAAAAATACATTTCAGAACACTTGAGTGTTCTGTCCAGTCCTTCAAACCACCACGCCAAAAAGTGTCACACCGTGTCCCTGATTTGAACTCCCCAGAAACAGAATGTGGATGCCTCTACTAAGAAAAAAGAAATTGTGGGAACTACAAAATGTGTAGGCACTGAAGATGATAAGCCCCCCCAGGGCTGACACCCACTCTAAAGCTATCAGTACAAATGCATAACGTTGATGCTATCTTAGGGGGCAAAGTCAGGTCAACAACATCGAGGACAACTAGTCCTTTCATAAGGGCAATGGCAAACTTATTTTATGACCAGCATTGAGGAGCAGCGTTGAGGAGCAGCCTCTTTACATTCCACTGCCAATGAAAACTTCCTAATAATAGAAGTCACAGGTCAAGAGGCTGGAAGAGCCCTGGGAATGTCCTCTGTGAGGTTTCCGCCTGGACAACACAAAACCAAGACAATCTGCTGAGTCTAGTGCTGTCCACGCCGAAGACATAGAGTAAATATCTTACGATGGCTCACATGGCTGTCCTTCCTCAACTACAGTACTCCTGAGGCTCTCACTCCACAACACAATCTCTCCAGGCGCCATACTGAACCAGATGAATGCTTATACTGTGTCCAGAACGACCAGTGGACAAAGAAAAGACCAAGAGGACGGGAACTTGCGTCACTTCACCAGCGAACGGCAGATGACATCTCCACCAGGCCACACCCCTAAACGATTACACACACACACACGCTCCGACAATGACGAAACTACTTTACTAATAGAAATACTGATACAAGTGTAATGAATCAGTTTGTATTAGTAAAGCATACTGTGTAAGCAACAGGTTAAACAGTTACAGAAAACCAACACTCAGTCCTGACATCACAGCTCTGCTCTTTGACTTTGTTGGGACAAGACTTGATGTTATGAGGAACCAATGTTATCTCTACCCCTAGTGGATTGGTCCAAACATAAAACCTGGAACAGGGGAAATCTTAAGTGTCCACAGCCCAATTCATGACCACTTTTACTCCCACACAATATACATTAAGTATTGGTGTCTCCAGTAAAGGACTATGTAATGCAGGGCTGTCAAACTCATTTTGGTTCATGGGCTGCATACAACTAATAAGATTTCCAGCAGGTCGGACCAGTAAAATCACAACATAATTATCTATAACTGACAAAAGGACTGTATTCTTCCCCGTTGTTTTTATGCAGAAATGTACATTAAATATATATCAATATATAGATATATCATTTCCTGAACATAAAGTGTGTAATGTTTTAATTTTTAAAATTCATCAAGCGGCACGGTTTTGGCACGGGACCCGTATGTTTGACACCCCTTACATTGTAATGATTTATTAAGGGATAAAAATAAGCCTTGGTTTTAAAAGAGTGAGTTGAAGGTAGCACTGATTGTTACTGTTTTAGACATTAATACAAGACAGGTGGAGACCACACAGAAATGGTTAATTTCACATTTTTTAAAAAGTACTTTCAAATAGTGCAAAGTATGTTCGGAAATAACGCTTATAAACATCACCTAATCCAGATTAAAACTAGACTAAAATCAGTTTAAGGTGTTAATACATCACTGATAATTCACCTCATGAACAGATCAAAGGTCATTTAGGCTTAGGTCGGAACCCGAATCCAGATCTTTGAATAGATTTCTGTCATCATCATCATCATCATCATCATCATCAATATCTACCAGATCAGATCTTGGACATGTAAAGTCACTCTGTCGGCAATGGACGTCGAGGAGCACGAGTGGCCTCTGGGAAAGATCTGAGGGAGACAAAGAGGAGCAGTTAATAATGTGTGAAGATCCTGACCGATCTTACCATACATACACATCTATGGCACTTTACGTATCAGTTCCAGTAGTAGAAAAACTACAATATAATCTATAAAAACACTACAATACCACTTCTACAGAGCTTTATTCTGCAAGTCTTTACACATGTACTTTATTTCTTTAGAGTGAGTGCAGTGATTATTTAGTCTATTTTGGGGTGGTTTGTAGTAAGGCTCCTTAGTAAAAGCTGAAGACTACGTTGTGCCCTCTATGAGTCAGATCCTGGGAATGAGTCAGAGCAAAGGTTGAGCCAGATGTGTGTGGGAGAGACAGGGTGAGGAAAAGTACACGTCTCATCTTGTTAAGACCATCATCAGTATTTCAGAGTGCCCACTGCTGGTGATTAGAGTCTGTGATATCTATTACTGTGCATATAAGATAGATAGTTAACCAACACTTGCTATTTTTATTTTAAGAGCAGAAGTTGTTCTAGAACAAAGTGTCCAATGGCTGCACATTTCATTCCTAATTACCTAAGTCTTTGTCATCCGACCATGACAGATCGTCTGAGCTGATCTCAGCCAGGCTCGGAGTTAGGCTGAAGTCGTCAGAGTCGGAGTCTACAGCTCGGAGTCCTTTACTGATGCCACTAGGTGGTGGAATAGGTGACACACCTGAAAAGTCAGAGGCCAGGAAAAAAAACCTGATTGATCATCTGTGTGTATAATGTGTGTGTGTGTGTGTGTGTGTGTGTGTGTAAAAGACTTACCTGGTGTGTGTGTTGTTGACAGTGGTATCTGCTGACGTTCTCCAAGAATACTTCTTAGCTTGTCTTTCACTTCTGACACTGCATTTCTGTTTTAGAAAGTTAAAAATAAGGATTTTTACACACACTGGACATATAAGACTTATTATATGCTGCCCATTCATTATAAAATTTAATTAAATAAAAAAAATGTATCGAATTTTTGACATGTTGATTTTGATAATGCTAGTAAACTCTCCTATAAGTTTCTCTCCTAACATTTCTATATTTAATCCCAATAATTAATAAATATATTTATAATGAGTAACATTTCTATATTTAATCCAAATAATTAATAAATATATTTATAATGAGCTATATATGTGCAAAGTAAATAAGGGATTGACTGGATACACAGGAAGAGGAAACAAAGCTTTGTCAAACCCAAACACGGGAACCTGCGCACGCTCGCACCTGATCAGGCAAACCTCTTTCTGTGTGTGTGAATACTGCGACATAGTTTGTGCCAGATCTGCACTGTGGTTTCTGTAACTCTGTGTCAGTTCCTCCAGAGTCTAAAGAGCAAACACAAGGTCAAAGGTCAGACCAACTCCAAATCCCTGCGGGGCAGGTGACCTTTGTGAAACGGCGAGGCCTCACCTTGAAGCTGCGTTCGCATCGTCTCCTCGTCTCTCTGGCCTCCGCCTGCTGCAGCATCGCATCCTCCTCTTGTTGCCCTGTCAAACAAGATGAAGAGATGAAACTGCGGTGGCCTACGTCTGGACTTGTCTACTGTCCTGCTGACATAATACAAGGCAACGATAAACAGCTGTCAGTGCAAAGGTGACTTACTCAACCGTGTTTTCAGTTGATTCACGTCTCTTTGTAGATTTTCCAACTCTTTTTTGCGAAGCTTTGAGCTAAAACTGGAAAGGAAATAAAAAAAAAAACGAATTTATATTATTATTCATATTTCATATTCATTTGAAAATAATCAACTTTTGTGTAATAACAAAAGTTGATACTAATTATAGTAATACTAATTATAATAATAAGTAATGTTTTTGTACAGGTTATCCATTACCTTTGTGCTGATCTATTAGCTATTTGTTTTGCAAAATTTTAACAAATGTCTGGGCTAACTACTGACTTCTATATATCTTTTGACTGACTATAGGTATTAAGTATAGGTATAGGTACTGTAGGTCTGTCTTCTTCTGTGGTTTTAGCTATCTGCAAACACCCACTGGACTGACTGCTCTTTATTACTTAGAAAAACATTTCGAAATGTGGAAAAAGGTTCACTTGCTCTGCAGCAGTCTTTAGAACATTGACAGAGTTGATATTCTATGGTCAATCGTGAGCTGCATGTCCAGTCTACATGCTGTACCTCTCCTCCAGGTTTCCTAGCGATGAAGCTCTGGTGATGTGCCCTCGCAGACTGTTCAGCTCCTCTCCGATCTCTCTCCTCCACTGCTCCATCCTCCTCTCTGTTCCTGGACTTTGTATTCCCTTTAATTCCCTCCTTTCCCTTTCTCTCTCCCCCAACTCCGCACGTAGCCTTCGAACCTCCTCTGCATGAAGGAGAGACACTTTCGTTGCTTTAGACTAATACAATTAGACAGGTTAAAAAGCACAAATACCACCGTGTCTCACGGAAATGAAGCTGGCACATCTGACTGTAGGAAGGTTAAAGTGCTAAAAACTCAAGGCTTTGAAGAACAGTTTTTTGTCACAATAATAGTTTCATTAAAAAAATGAACTTTGTTCTACTGTATATTCTGCAACTCAGGTTTTATTGTTGGCAATTGACACCAACACTATCTGACTCATCGTACTCAGAAATATATATATATACATATATTTCTGAGTATATATATATATATATATATATGGTGCTTAATAGCAATCCTAAAAAACAGAAGTCATGTTTTGTTCTGTCTGTGTAAAGATCAAGACAACATTAGCAATGGTAATTGTGTATAATAAGTAATATAATATAATATATATAATATACAGTATCTGTAGTGAGCGGTGGAGTACATCAGTTACCTTGTAGTGTCTCGATGTGAAACTGTTGCGAATGGTGTGCTCGTTCCATGTCATGAACTTTCTGCGTTAGAGACTCAATAGCCTGGTAAAAACAATAAAGATGTGTTCTGATGAACGGTGTATTACTTTTTTTTTCTTCCTGCTCACAACCACTTAATAAAGTGTTAGCAAAACATTGTAGCGCCATGTTAAAAAAAAAAAGTTGCACCGTTTCTATCAGTGAATAATTGTCACCATCATACTAATTATAGCAGAGGAACAAAAATCACACACTTGACTCTGTATCTGGAGTTGTGACTGGATGGAAGCCAGATCTGTCATTTGCACAGAAGAACCTATTGACTGGTAATCTGGCCAGTGATGTGCAGCTCGAGTCAGATGAGTAGGGTGGCCGGAATCCTGAGCTCTCTCCGTAGCTGTGGAAGAACAATTGTAATAACATATGAATGACATTTACTGAAAGCAAATCACAGTCCTGTCAAGTCACTTGATGTAATCGCTTATGTCTATAATATCAATAAGTGTAACTTCATGGTTGTATACAGACATGTTAAACAGTTAAGACTCGCTATAAAAGCCTTTGTGTTTTTGTGATATATTTGAAACTGGTTTAGTTTTGAATATATATTTTTCAAAAGTATATTTACTCACCTTCTCCTACTCTGGAAATTTTTCCTGGTGACTTTAGTCTCTCCTGTGGACAGAAGCATGGAAGAGAGACAAGGGTTTAATAAAACTATCAGAAGCTGTTATCCTGTTTGACGTGTAGTGGAGTGTTGCTGCCATCTACAGGCGCCTGTTGATAATGATTTATAAGCCATGAAAACAATGGTTCATATTTTACCAGTACAACGGGGGATTCAATAGGGCTGCCGTTTTAGCATACAGACTTAGTTTTTTAAAATGTATTTTAACGATTGTAAAATTTAAAATCACAATATGACAAATTGACTCACCCTCATCTTTGCAACGCTGCCGTCTGCTACAGATAGAATTGAGTTCAGTTGATTGTCCCAGTTCATGTCTACGGGGAGCTACAAAATAAGTTGTCAAAGTCATAGTTCAAAGTGCAAATTAGTGTGTGTGTCCTTGCAGTGATGATACACCCAACACCAGTAACATTAGACAGGCGTGGCATCAAAGCTGTGGATGAGGTAACAGAAAGCCGTCGTGATGAGATCTCCAGCACCTTCTAGGGGATTCGATTTCAGCACATGGTGAGCAGTTTTAACATCTAATAATAATAGCTATAATAGCTAACACGTTGAATTCAGAATTAACATAGCAGATTTTGACTACTTTGATGGGTTGTAATAATACTTTGACAACATTTAAGTCAGATATCAATGATGCAATTTTGTCAATTACATATATCACCAAATTAACCTCCAGTCTGCAGAATCTCCCTTGAACTTTGGTATTAACATCATGTTTTTTCACTACAGGCCATTTCTGTTGTGACTATTTGAAACAAGCTCTGCAACATTTTATCTTTCTTCAACCTCTTGACTTGAACTTTCCGGCTTTCCTTTAAAAATATTTACTCGCAAAAATTAGAAAGTAATTTTGAAACAGCTTTAAGTATAAAAGCAACAAACCTACACAATGTGTATTAAATTCTGCTTTTCTACAGACCCCCTGTGTCCTATTCATGAAAAAATTATTGGACTGTTTTTGAGTAGATATCGTAAACACCAACGTTACTAACTGAAATGCAACATAGCGTAGCAACGTGTATATTACTACTAGAGCCGAACGTTATTTTTTATACAATGTATTAAAAATGTTACGCAACATGTCACTAAATAAATACATGTACACCTTTTATCAAAATGCTCAAGTAATTGTTAGAACAAGCCAGCGAAAGTACTCACCGAAACGCTTGCGAAGCTGTTTTTTTAAATCCAGGAGCCCATTAACGACGACGTGATTACGTATGACGTAAGTACAAAGGAACTCTGGGTAAAGTAGTAAAGCTTGAAGACTTAACGCTTTGCCCTTTTGCCATCAGAGAGTTCCAAGACTACTTAAACTTAAGTACATCTCTTTAAAAAAAATGACTATTTTGTGTGCCATGTGGCGCTTTCTTTCTAAAGAATAGTTTATATATTTATACTTACATTTCTGACACGGAAGACCCGGAAAGAATTCCTATCCCACAATGCAACTGCTCGTGTTGACACAGTTGCCGTAAAGCAATGGCAGCCACCGTTCTGAACGTGGAAACAGCGATACGACTATTAAAGGATACTATATCAGAACTTGGATTCGAAGTGTATCCTTTAAAGGTCGTACAACTAACTGATTTGGTCATTTATATTCTTAATTTTAGCAAAAGCCACAGGGACGGCAATGACTTTTTTCTCACCTTAAGAAGTATCATAAGGGTACATATGTCAAAGCTCACAGGGCGTTATATTGTTACACTGTAATAATGTATTTTAAGCCAAAAAAGATGACTGTCGGTACCTTTAAAAGTTTATACAGTACACATATCAAACACAGCAACAACAAACAAGTAATACATGATGCATTACTAGTTTCAAGTCACATCAATAATTAATTAAACTAATCTGAAGGCTAATTTAAACTTTATAAAAACACATTAAAAATTAAAGTAAGCTGGGTAAGGCTTTAAATTGTGATTTATGACTGCTTCAATAACCTGTGTGTCATACAGTGAGTGGTGTTGAAGTGTATATTTTCTCTATTACACGACTACAGGCTACAGAAACCTGACCGTCTAACTGTGAAACTAGGGAAAAGTGGAGCTCAAATATACAGTATATACTGTTAGTTGACACATTCTCCTGCAGTCAAGCTGATTCCTACTGGATAACAGTATCCTCTGTGTTACACTTGCTCCATGTCTACAGGTGGGCTGGTACAATGCACTGCTACCTGCGTCACTGCGCCTGGCTCATCCAGACGACACCCTGGCTGTGGTGGTGCTCAGCACTCCAGCCATGTTCGAACAGACCTTCCTGCCTTTCATGGAGGACGGAGGCTTCCAGGGACTGACAGATCCCATTGACCAGTGTGTCAAACAGTGCATCTCAGCTGCCGTCTCACGGGTGAATAGTATAAAAGAGAGGGAGAGATTATTATTTAGTTATTTTTAATAATCCAATTTAACTTTTTTACATGTGCTTTATGAGTAGGATTTGATGTTACTATATACAGTATTTTGTTTTTGGTATTTGCATCGATCTTAAATGACTAAATTGTGAAGAGGGGTCCATTAATACAGTATATGTTAAAGCATTAAACTTGATGGGAAAATCTCTGTAAGGGCCTTTTTAATAGTATTTTTTTCTGTATGAACTTAACAACATATAGTATTTGGATGTTGGTTGATATAGGAAACATAATAGCAAGCCACATGGTGGCAGTATTGGTCTTACTTCGAGAAATAGTATATACTATATTGTATATAGTGATCTGTCCAGGGTGGCCTGCCCTCAACTGTTAACTACTGGTATTGACTCAAGGCCCCTCTGTGACCCTGACAATGATTGAGCATTAAAAGATGAACTAATGATAGTTTAGTTTCTCACCATCTTGTCCTTACCAATAATGAAATATATGGTCAAAGACCATATATGGTAATTTGGAAAAATTAGAGTACTTCTATCATCATAATTGATCAACACAGTGTCCTTTGCATGCATCATAACAGCATTTGCAGCAACCGCTGTGGTCTTTAAAATGAAAAATGGCTCCTGACCTTGATTGCAATAGTTCTCTCTTCCTCCTTTGCCCTGCAGTGTTTTCCTGGACAAACGGTGGAGGTGAGTTATGACTATGAGATGCTGCCCAACAGGAAACCAAAATTCTTGGCACAGACTGCAGCTCATGTGTCGGGAGCAGCTTTCTATTACCAGCAGGCAGATGTCACTGATCAACCCTGGGCTGAGAAAGTAATCTTTTTTTTTTGTTTTGTGCTGTGGAAACTCATTGTTTCATTGTCTGGATTAGCATTTCTCACTAATTGTCTCTCCCGCCCTCTCTGTCTAACTGCAGAAAATGTTCGGTGTGTGCGTGCATCCGAGGTTCGGAGGCTGGTTTGCCATCAGATCTCTGTTGGTGTTTGAAGATGTGACGCTGGGCCCCGACGTCCTGCAGCCAGTTCCCCCTGACTGTGTCCCAACCAGAGAAGGCAGGATAAAACTGCTCGAGTCTTTTAACCATCGTTGGCAGGTAATTGATGTCACCACCTTTTGCTGTTAATGTCCACTTTTAAGACTGAAGAAAATTTAAGAAAATATTGGTTTTGTTGTTTTAGATTGAATGTCCGCTTGTCTTTGCTTTAGCAGGACTGGAGTTACAGAGACGTAGTTCCTCCAGTTCAGACCTACTCACAGAGACAGAGGGACTACTTTTCCACTCTTCCTGCTCAACGCTTTGCTCTGCTAAAGACCTGGGGCTTCCTGCCCAAGGAGGACCAACAGTCTGAAGCGGTCTCAGACACACAGGGCAGCCATGGATGAAAGAAGACACTGGACATTAACACAAGTTTATATACTGTATGTGCAGAAATGCAAAAAAAAAAAAAATTTTTTTTTTCTATACCTTGACTTTGACAAGGTGCACACTATTGTCAATGCAGCTGAAGGAAATTTCCAGCAACTCCTATACTGAATTATGATGCAAATAATGATCGCATCAAATGTCTGCAAATGTTACAAAAAATGACTACAAAACACTACACGATGCAGCAATGCATTGTTTGTGTCTGTCTGTGACAATACCAAGGATACATCTTAGTTTTGGGAACTGACATCTTTTGTCTGCAGCTTCATTGAATGAAGTTCCAGAAATGCAAGTTTATGTCCCAAAACATGCTAAGAAGTGAATAATTTGTGCTAAAAACTCAAAATACAGCATATCTGAACATGTGAAAATATCTTGCAGTCTTTATTTTATATCAATAAGTAATGCACCCTATTTCAATAGACATCCATTTGAAATTAGTCAAATAATTTTTATTAATAGTTTCTCTGAAAAAATAAAGTTTTATTTAAAGATTCAAGAATGTTGGTTTTGTTTATTATTTATTTTAAATATGTCAAAAACTTGATAAAAATGGGTCATAAAATTTTTTTTTTTTTTTTTTTTTTTAACATTAACTTGAATCTGTTATATCTGCAGAACCAGCAAGAGTCGCTCCACGCTGCGTGGTCCCAGCTTCAGCCTGAGGAGGGCACCGAGGACTGGTGGATAAGCTGGTGCTTTGCTCCCTCTAGTGGTTTTGTGTGGTTTTACTGTAAGTTAAGCTAAATTAATTTAACTTTAATTTAAATCTAATCAATTTGACATTAGTTAAAAAAAAATCAATGTTACACAATATGGATAACTCTCAGCCATTTTTTATTTTGTAAAAGCAGCTCTTGGAGAACAAAAGGTTGGAGACCCCTGATCTAGATTATATGTGACTACTGTGTTAGCAAAGGCCAGTGACATAGGCACTTATGTACAGTATGTGAGTTCTGACATACAGCGGAAATCAAGTTGCACCATAGGAACAGAACTCCGGCGTAAGTCGAGGGTCCTGCTGTACTTTAAGTCCTCTTCCCAGACGTCACTTTAGATGGCCATTTCTTTTTCATGTTCTTTCACTTCAGCTGTGTGACAAAAATATTTACACTTCCTCAAAAAGATACAAGAGTTAAAAATAGGAATACAGCCCCTTCAAACATGATCACAGATGGACATTTGTCTCAAAAAATAATATAAAACAAGGAAGGTCATAGAGCAGAATTAAATAGATCTTAGTTTATTGTTGTTGAAGAACCCAAACCCCTGAACTCGGTGTGCCCTAAACGTCATGTCCGTCATCTCAGTAGCTTCCTTAGTTACGGCACAATATGGCTCTTTTTCTCTCCCGCATACAGTACACACAAAAACACACCAACCCTGTTTTCCAAATGTGACTACATTCGAGGATTCCACACAACTCGAATGCTATTCCAATATAAATTTGTAAGTGAATGCATTTTTTTGGCCACATTACATTTGTCAACATTACAGGATGAAAAAAAAACAAAAACACACACCAGCCATAGTTGAACAAAAGACTGGGACCCCAGTGTACTAATGGAATAAAATACGTGGAAAAATACATTTTCTCCAAGTCAAGGTGTCACGTAAAAAAAAACTCTCAAGTTTGTTTTGGTTTAAGGACAAATTGTAAAAACCTTTAGGTACAATTTTGAACTCACACAATTAACAATTGTTAACAATTTTAGCTAACTTATCAATTTTTAGCTATCTTCTTTGCTATGTTCTCTTAGATACATTTTAGCTACTTGTGTTCTTAAGTTTTGCGACTAAATTTCAAATACCTAAATTGTCTATTTTTGGCTACATTTTCTTGCTTTTTTTTTACAGATTTCTACCAACAATTGCTAGAGATTGGTGCAGCACACAACACAAACCTTGACTTTGACAATGTACGCCCTATAGGGCAATGAGAAATCCTGTTCATATTTTCCTGTTTTAACTCATTTTCTGGAAATGAATGCAGACCACACACTACAAAACACTACACGATGCAGCAATGCATTGTTTGTGTCTGTCTGTGACAATACCAAGGATACATCTTAGTTTTGGGAACTGACATCTTTTGTCTGCAGCTTCATTGAATGAAGTTCCAGAAATGCAAGTTTATGTCCCAAAACATGCTAAGAAGTGAATAATTTGTGCTAAAAACTCAAAATACATCATATCTGAACATGTGAAAATATCTTGCAGTCTTTATTTTATATCAGTAAGTAATGCACCCTATTTCAATAGACATCCATTTGAAATTAGTCAAATAATTTTTATTAATAGTTTCTCTGAAAAAATAAAGTTTTATTTAAAGATTCAAGAATGTTGGTTTTGTTTATTATTTATTTTAAATATGTCAAAAACTTGATGAAAATGGGTCATGAAATGTAGTTTTTTTTTTTTTTTTTTTACATTAACTTGAATCTGTTATATCTGCAGAACCAGCCAGAGTCGCTCCACGCTGCGTGGTCCCAGCTTCAGCCTGAGGAGGGCACCGAGGACTGGTGGATAAGCTGGTGCTTTGCTCCCTCTAGTGGTTTTGTGTGGTTTTACTGTAAGTTAAGCTAAATTAATTTAACTTTAATTTAAATCTAATCAATTTGACATTAGTTAAAAAAAATCAATGTTACACAATATGGATAACTCTCAGCCATTTTTTATTTTGTAAAAGCAGCTCTTGGAGAACAAAAGGTTGGAGACCCCTGATCTAGATTATATGTGACTACTGTGTTAGCAAAGGCCAGTGACATAGGCACTTATGTACAGTATGTGAGTTCTGACATACAGCGGAAATCAAGTTGCACCATAGGAACAAAACTCCGGCGTAAGTCGAGGGTCCTGCTGTACTTTAAGTCCTCTTCCCAGACGTCACTTTAGATGGCCATTTCTTTTTCATGTTCTTTCACTTCAGCTGTGTGACAAAAATATTTACACTTCCTCAAAAAGATACAAGAGTTAAAAATAGGAATACAGCCCCTTCAAACATGATCACAGATGGACATTTGTCTCAAAAAATAATATAAAACAAGGAAGGTCATAGAGCAGAATTAAATAGATCTTAGTTTATTGTTGTTGAAGAACCCAAACCCCTGAACTCGGTGTGCCCTAAACGTCATGTCCGTCATCTCAGTAGCTTCCTTAGTTACGGCACAATATGGCTCTTTTTCTCTCCCGCATACAGTACACACAAAAACACACCAACCCTGTTTTCCAAATGTGACTACATTCGAGGATTCCACACAACTCGAATGCTATTCCAATATAAATTTGTAAGTGAATGCATTTTTTTGGCCACATTACATTTGTCAACATTACAGGATGATAAAAAAACAAAAACACACCCCAGCCATAGTTGAACAAAAGACTGGGACCCCAGTGTACTAATGGAATAAAATACGTGGAAAAATACATTTTCTCCAAGTCAAGGTGTCACGTAAAAAAAACTCTCAAGTTTGTTTTGGTTTAAGGACAAATTGTAAAAACCTTTAGGTACAATTTTGAACTCACACAATTAACAATTGTTAACAATTTTAGCTAACTTATCAATTTTTAGCTATCTTCTTTGCTATGTTCTCTTAGATACATTTTAGCTACTTGTGTTCTTAAGTTTTGCGACTAAATTTCAAATACCTAAATTGTCTATTTTTGGCTACATTTTCTTGCTTTTTTTTACAGATTTCTACCAACAATTGCTAGAGATTGGTGCAGCACACAACACAAGAACCTGGTAAGAGGAAAAAAAATCCTTATTCAGGATGTGTGTATCCAACAAGCAGCTGGAATTACTCAAGTGGAAGTAACTGGAAGTATCAAAAAAAGGTTGGTCTACAACGCATTCACCGAACCCTTCGGTGATGGCCAAGAGGGGGCGTGTCATCACGAATCATACGAGTCGGGTGTGTGTCTCGTCCTCCGCCGAACCCCTGGGGTTAGTTAAGAACCACCGGTCTACATAAAGCTTCTAAAGGTGAGAATTTCTACGAAAAAAACAAACAAACAAAAAAAAAAAAACAATTAAACCTTGTTGCTACACAGAGCTACTAATGCTTTGTTTCTATTTGTGGAGACCAAACAAAGGTTCATTCAAAATCAGCAACACCAACCATTTAATCAGATTCATTAACAATAATGTAATTATGTTTTTTTTTATTAAACCTTGTTTCCTATATTCAATTAAAAAAAATTTCATTGAAAAAACAGTTTAGTTGTGTGTGGAAGTAATTTGTTTTTTGGACAACTCAAAGGCTTGGTGCTCACACACACACACACACTCTCTCTCTCACACACACACTTTAGGTTTCTTTAATATTACTATTCACAAACCGATATTCTCGTCTCCAATTATTCTACGTCTACGTTATTAAATATACATAAGGAAAAAAGGACGTCGCAGTCCGAAAACAGCTTTTCAGTTTCTCCACCTGCTAGCTTTAAGCAGGATGAAAGTTAGATTCTGGTACTTGTACGTCGATGGCTCATATTACTCCTCCTCCTCGTTCCTCCCTCCTCTGAGGCTCCTGCGTCTTTGCCTTTTTTTTTCTCTGCAGAGAACAAAAGCTGGAGTCGGAGTCGGAGTGAGGACCTGGCACAGGGAGGCAGGTCCTCACGACCAGCAGTAGCAGATGGAGGAGGTTCTTACAGCAGTTGCTCCTTTTTTTTAAGTCCTGAGATTCAAGTTTTACGTCATGAAATCAACACTTGGAAATGAGCAGGAAACAGAGGTGGGAACGGGCTGAGAGAGCGCTCAGTCTCTGCTGCACCTCATCCATTCATTTACTAACCTTCTGTTTTCGTTGAACCGGCAGCAAAGTTCAGTTTGCTCAGCAATTCCCACAATCCCCCTTGTCCTCCTCGGGCTCAGAAAGTCTCCAGCTTCTGGCTGTGTCTTTTTTTCTTCCTCCGTTGCCTTCAGGGATGTGGGAGGTTCATTCTGTCCTCTATTAGAGTGTTATCCGAGCCCTGACTCTCGATGCACTGCTTCACAGTTGCGATGACTCCGGACAGACGTCTGTCCAGCGCCGCCAAGTGTGACTCGGCCAGGACTGGGTGAATCGGGTCAAACGCCAGAGACTGACGCACGGCTGAGCTCAGGGTTCCGCCTTTGAGCAGATTTAACCTGTTCCACGTGGACACCCGCACCCTGCAAAGGACGCCGTGTTTAACCGAGGTGACAGAGGAGGAAGATTTCATTTAGATTTTTTTCTTTTTTTTTTTTCATATATACTCACATGCAGCACTGGTACACAGGCGCCAGGATGCTGCGTTCATCCACAGCGGCATTTCCAAAGCTGCAGACAGACACAAAAAAAACCCAGATATTAATTTAATATACATTTACAGTATATATATATATATCTATACATATATATTTATATATATACACACACTTATATATGTATCCATACATATATACATATATATATACATATATACACACACATATATATATATTGTTCTGCACGACTTTTCTTGCATCTCCAAGGGTTTTTTATAGCATTGTGTACAGTTTACATATTCTTGGTATTTGTGGTGCACGGTGGCTCTGTGGGAGCACCCTCAATTTCACTGTACAATGACAATAAAGACTATTTTATTCTATTCTATTCGCAAAGAACGACGTGGTATAGTAACATTTTGACTCGTGGGCCACAATTGTCCAAAAACTGAACGTGGTGGCCAGGTGAGGAGCAGATAGATGGAGCGTTCGTGTGAACTAAGATAAGGGAATGATTCTCCCTCTATTGGGGAAAACGTGGGTATTGCAGGCAAAAACCAGAAACATAATGATAATATAAATAAATTTGGAAATGATTTGGAAAAGTTTGGCCGGCCGGATTAAGAAGCTGAACGGGCCATATCAGGCCCCGTGGGCCTTAGTTTGCTCACTAAATAAAGGGTATGAAAACCTGGATCTTAAACGCGACAACTCACCTCTTTGCGTTATCAAGCAGGATGAGCATGCTGGCACCGCCGTCGTCCTGGAAACTCTCGTAGTGATGTCGATCGGCGTTCCCGATCAGATAATCAAATATGGCAGTGTCTATCACGTCCAGGAGCCTCGGCCCTGCATCGTACGGCGGCATTTTCTTCACTGCTTCGCAGTAACTCTCGTCGTATTCCCACCTGAGTGAACAACACCGGCACTATTAAACACCGTACGACAGCGTGTTCCAGTTCTGAGGCGCTCAAACCCTCAAACCCACCTGGCCAGTTTTCCTTCTCTGTATGTGCGACCCCAGGGGTGTCTGTGTTTCTGCAAAGGCCAGACGTCAGGCAGCCACAGGGTTATCGACCCCTCCATTATCTCACCTTCTGCACAGGCCGGCTCACTCTCTCGACAGTAGTAACACTTTCCATAGAAACATGTATTGTTACCTGGAGACAGATGGCGACGTAGAAAAAAAAAAACCCCAATCAGACAAAACTGCTAAAATGAGTCAAACCAACAATTTGAATCACATTTAAAACCTCAAATTTGTGTAGCGCATTGAAGACGGGAAGTGACTGCTTAGCTACTGATAACATTGTAGCTACTGATTGGCTAGCCACAAAAGTGGTTAACGTAACAGAGTAGCCTGACCTGGCCAATAATTACGATCAATACGCCTAACCTAAATAATACTGCCAGGACTGATCGTTTGTTCCCGTGGAATGTTTGTCACATTGTTATTCATTGGTTTAGTCGACTGACAACTTATTTAAAATCAACCTTTAACACAGGGATAAATGCTCACCTTATGGTATCAGTGTATATATATTTATATATATATATATATATATACTTTTATACATTTTAATATATAAGTCACACCTGAGTATATGTTGATTAAGAGTTCGGAAACTATGGTAATAGAATTTCGCAGCTGCTGCCATTTTTTTCCCGTGTGAAAAGAAGGGAAGGCTAACCAGTACCCACCCTGCATTAGGAAAGTGCTCAGCAGCTGCTCCGTGGCCACGGGTTTAATCTCTGTGCGCAGGTTGATGTATCGTCCCACCGCCAGAGGTGCTCTCCTAAAGCCCAGGATCCTGCAGGGGACGACAGAAGGTAATATTAGCGGAGTAAGGACTGACACACGGGGGATGTCCCATTGACGTACCTGTCCAAGTGAAAGGCTGCCACCTCTGCATTGTGCCTGTCGTAGCCTGCATATGGTTCGCCCTCAACAACGTAGTCTCTGTTGTACCTGAGGAAAAGCCGAAGGGAGAAACAGGGGAGGGAGGGTTGCTGAGCAGCTAAACAAATGGACCAAATTAGCATCGATTAGCCCGCACTCTGACCTTTTGGGTTTGAAGACGACCTTCTGCCCGCCATCAAGCACAAGCAGGGCTTTCAGCTGAGTGCCTTTGTAACCCACGTCGGCCCGTTCGATCCGGGCGCTGCTGAGGGCCGTGAGCACCGCAGCCAGTTCTGGAGTCTCCTCGGGGTACACCTCTCTGGGACCCACCCACTGACTCGCTATCTCCCAAGGAGACTGCAGCGTGTGTGTGAGACGGGCTCCACGGGACAAAACAAGACCGGCTTCCATCTGTTGAAAAAAAAAAAAAAAGTATTTATTCATCTTCTATGACCTTATACTCCTCAGGATTTTCAAATCCAGAATCATTTTAAAAAACACTGTGAACTGTGACAGGTCTGTCTCATCTGTCCGAAGGACATTCTCCCAGAAGCCTTTGTGGCTTGTCATTATGCATTTTGGCAAATTCCAGTTTCGTTTTTTTATGATTTGCTTTCAACAGCGGTGTCCTCCTCTGTCGTCTTCCATTAAGTCCACTTTGGCTCAAAAGGCGACGGCAATGGTGCGTTCCAATATTGACGTCCCTTGACCTTTGGAGTTCACCTCTAATCTCTTCGGAAGTTGTTCTGGGCTCTTTGGTTAGCATTCGTGTTATCCGTCTCTTTTCATTTTGTCGTCAATTTTCCTCTTGTGGCCACGTCCCACGGTTGGATACAGTCCCGTGGACCTTAAACCTCTGAATGATATGTGCGACTGTCGTCACAGGAACACCGAGCTGCTTGGAGACGGTCTTATAGCCTTGACCTTTAACATGCTTGTCTATAATTTTCGTTCTAATCTCCCGAGACAACTCTCTGTGGTCCATGTTCTAATGGCACACTAACCTTACGAAACGCCCTGAGGTCCCGCCGACTGGACGCAGAGCCTTCGCCTCCATCGAGAAGGAATATCTTGGCAAGGCCCAGCAGGAGAAGCACGACACACAGCACCACCAGGCGCTGTTTGAGCTTCATCTCAACACGACCTCCTCCTCAACCGACGTGCGCTTGCCCCTCTCTGAACGCCCCTCACTCCTGATGCATGGCTCGTGCCACCTTCGGTGGGTCGGACAACCCCGACTGGCCGGGAGGCAGATTTGTCCAAAGTGCAGATTTAACCACGTGGTAGATACCTGGAAGGTAAAAAAAACACATTCTTCAGAAAAGCCAACTAGGAGGACATCGATAAGGGGACATGTAGTCAACAGTAGTGTTTGTTGTGTCAGTTGTGCGTCTCTATCTATTGCCTGTATTGCCCTGAAGGGAGTGGTGACCCAGTGCTGCAGCTGAACTTTGTCCAACACCTATTAAAAGTAAGGCAAGGAATACAACAACATGTACCTCGAGCACCAACGTGGCTAAGAATCTACCTTTAACACCACATGGTGGGGCTACAGTATTCAGCTAGGTCTTGTTTCAAAGTATAATCGATGAATCACACACAGTACGTTACGTCACATGGTTGTCAACACGTGTCACACAGCCCATAATGCTGTTAGTTTAAATTGGTGTCCAATGCATTTGAAGTGAGTCCGAGCGAATCACTGGCAGTCAGCATGTCCGTTTCCAAAGGGAAGGAGAAGCAGCCAGTTTTTCCCACAGGGCTTTACTCAGTTTGTGTGCCGATCAATACTTCGTGAATATTTTGTTTCCCAGCCTGCATCAGGAACGCCATCCAAATGTCAGCTGTTGAAGTGTTGAAGGCTCTGAGTCGACATGAAGTTTTTTTTTAACCAATTACAAAGTCCGGCACTCAGTCATGTGCATCAAGCCAAAACAAAATGGCAATTGATTTTTTTATACTATTCAAATCAATTATTAAATCTGGTATATATCTTGTCATCGACTTCATTTAAACGAGTTGAAATCATACTTCTGCTTGAAACATTTTTTCTTCTTTTCTTGTCAATTGCTCAAATTCGTTTTTTACGCTGCCCCTGCTGGTAGACATGTTTACGCAGGGTGTGACCCTGTCTTTTTCTCCTGCAGGGAACTGGTGCAGGGAGATCACGTAACCATTGTACAAGACAGCAACAATGAGTTAGTAACTCTAAATCACTAACTTCCAAAAGAAATAATAATAATTCAAAAAAATATTTAAATTAAACTAAATTTCCTTGGGATAGGAGTACTGCTTCTGTACTGCGGAAGCAGAAATCGTGTACTGGATTTTTTTTAGTATAGTCCCTTCATTTACTCTTAACCTTAAATTATCGCTCCTATTGATTAGAACGACAAAGGTTTTCTCTCCGAATACTTAAATACTGTGTGAACTCGGTCTTTTCGCCTGAGGCTTAAACAAATGAGGGCTTTTGTGCTCTGATGACAACCTGTACGTAGTCAACATATTATTGTGTAATGAAACCCATCAATGATATATAAATCTGAGCTAAGCCGGAGACTGGCGAATGGCAGCTTTAAACATAAGGTCACCTCAGGTCAACCATCATGTGATAAAACGCCTTATTTCAACACTAAATGTTTTTTATTACATGCTTGCTGAAAAAGGGAAAACAATTCATTTAACAATGCTTTAAAAAATATTTATTATTGTTTACAATCCAATTCACATTTTGTGCAGTCTAAACACGGCTGTGGGGACGGACAATGCAGCCGCAAGTGAGCGTCAGCTGTGGTTTCTATTTAATCAAACACTGTTGTCTCCTCAGTCCCCTTCACCAATGACCATGAGATGTTACCATGCATTAAAATGATGACAGTGCACTGCACCATATCATCTCATGTCCTGCCTTTTCCACTACCACCTGCTCAGAGAGGCAACAACCAAACTAGGTATACTAGAAATCCGGAAGGTAGATGAGCATCCATTGACCGGCCAGTGACCGGAATCGGTCATTTTGTGGCATGATGGGTCCTGGCCTGCACCACACACGTGTTGTATAGATACGTTTGTCAACAAACATGAGAGCTAGATCATACTCAATCTGTCGTTAATTTGGGATTGCTCTACGCTGCGCCAAAAAAAAATCTCCAAGCTCAATATTTGTTACATTTGTAACAGCAGGGTTAACCTCGAGGGAGCGACCGCAAAGCTGTTTGATACAACAAATGTCATTTAGAGTTAGAGTTTTGTTTATTCTATTCCCGGGTGCAGTGTTACCAGAGGTGTTTCAAGTCAGCGAGGGTTTGTTTGGTTTGGCAGGGCGTGTGGTAGACGAGAAGAGAACTCATCTGTCAGGTGACGAAGCGCTCTGCTTTTGTTTAAAAAAAATAAAAAAATAAATGCCCCTTAATGCTCATAAGAAAAGCACTTTGCCCCTGTACCAACTGCATTTATTCTTCTGCTTTCTCTACTTCCGCCTCTAGTTCTGTTTCTATTGCTGCTTGTGCACTGTCCATTACTCTGAATGATTTCACAACATCTTGTTAGAAGAGAAAAAGACTGTAGTACACGTTATTCTTTATATATGCCTTCAATTGAATTAATTTTTTTTAAAATTTTAATCTCCAGAATTGTCAGCTTGCATTGAAATTCTCCTTCAACGCTTGGTTAACTTTACCTAAACCTGCTAATGTGCTGCGACCTCAGAGTATGTATGCTGTCACCGTTTGGTATTGGGGCTTTTCACTGGTAAATGTTTCATTCAGACGTGCAGAAGCAAGAAGCAGGAGAGCGGCATCCTGGGTGATCAGCACTACACACACTGTACTTCATGACTGAGGGGATTAATGAGTGACTACTGTGATGTGGTATTTATTGTTGGCTGACACTGACGTTCATGGTCCAACCCATACAAGTGGATATTCTTTACTACTTTACATACTGTACAAATACTGAAGTTCCCTTCCGCTGTGTATAAACATGCCACATCATCACTTGGACATATGGTAGGTTATTAACAACAGACAGTCTTTTTAGGTGACCATACTGTAGGTGTGAAGAACTAAAATCCAGGGAGTACTCTGTATTTTGCCAGATAGGGCTAGCTTCGTCCACAATTCCTAATTGGACAAAGTAACAAAGAAAAAAAACCCCAAAACAAACGGATAAATGAATTGTGCCGTTTGTGATTGGAAATACCAGCGGCACAAACACAACCGCCGTATCAACGTTTTTACCGAGATATTATTGTGTACAGATATTTTAAGTATCGTCACAACACTACATATTGGAATATTCTAGCAAAAGACGACTGCACAGCAGGCTGAATTGGCAAGTGTCGAGAACAACACGCTGTCAACAACTGTGGTCGTAATTTGCCGTTTTATTTATCTTTAGCGCGGCTAATTTACAGCACTTTAACAGAGCAGTAGTGGACTACACCTAGTGAATCCGGGTTAAACCGGGGTGTCCACGGCTCATTCTGCTCGGCTGTCTGTGTCCACGCAGGCACTCCATTCACACACAATTGGTCTTTCACGGTGGTGCTGCCTGCTTTTCAAAATGCAGAAAGAAATGCGGCTCGTTCCGAATGACAAACGTGATAATTCGTCTGAATGGCAGCCGCGTTCATAGTCCCTCCTATCGTGGTTTATTCCGTTTTGCTGCCGTGGGCTAGCCGCTAAGAACAGACAACCATGTACACCTTGCTCTGTGGGTTACTTCGATTCGGCCTGCCAGCTAGCTTCGTACCGTACCGCTGCTTCTGATGTGTTTACTGTCCGTCGACACAGCTTAAAAACACTCACCCTCTGCTCTGTTCAGTGTTGAGGCAGGACTCGGTACAGACGACTTCAGAATCCAGAGGAGTGCGGGGTGCGTGCGATAATATATACAGCAAAACTATAAGTCACAACCGACTGTCATTCTCACCGTCCCCTCACAGGCTTCCTTCTCTCCGCCCTTCGACTCCTGTCTTTGGCCTGCCGCGTCCACTTCCTCCCCCTGCAGGTGCGTTGTCTGTCCACTAGGTGGTAATGTCACATTAAAAACTATGACAGTACCAGAGAAATTAGGGTAGTAACTTTTTAATTAAATGTAGAAAATGTTTTGATATCTAACCACGCATTTAGATTAGGGGGTTTCAAACTGTGGTAGTAGTAACACCGATGGTACCTGGGGCTCCCTCTAGTGGAAAACAAGGGACTCTCGATTTTAAAATACAGCTGACATGTATTCTTGCCATAAAATAACTCTCACATTGATGGGTCAAAAGTAGTATATAATACTGTGTGTGTCAGC